AAATGTGTCATAAACCAATGTATTGTGAAGATATAATGTACCCTAGTTCCAAGTCAACACCCAGGGTCAATTCTAAGGCCAAATAACCCTATAAGAACTCTTCTTGAGCTCCCTCATAATGATCTTACCTATTAAATGCTAGAGGTTAAGGTCAATATGTGGAATTTCAAGTTGAGTCAAGAGAAGAGTTTTGAATTTCTAATGGTGAGGGTACCTTTTCTAGTTTTCTAAGACTAGTCAATAGGAAAGTCCTATGGCTAGACCTAGGCTACTAAAGAAATTTCTAGACCTCAACCAAAAGTGAGGTCAACATTTTCCTACAAGCATGTTTTTATTTCTGCAAAAGTATATATATGTTTTGCAAGTACTGACCCTTCAGGTGGAGGAATGAGAAGAATTAGCAGGTACGCTTTTAAGTAATTGCATTGTAATTTATTTACCTTTCTGTGCCTCTCATTTCCTACCTAAAAAATTGCATGTTAAACAACAAGATCACCCTGCATGTCAAAACTGAAACTTTTAGGATAGGCACAGAACTGAAACCAAAACCAAAATTAAGAAATCAAAGCAAGATAAAAATCCACCATCACAACAGTTAAAATATAAGACAACTCAAAATTTAATCACAAATAAAACAAAAAAATAAAAAGTGCAACTAAATTAAAATGTCTCTATCGGATGATCGGGAATCCCTCGGGAATATCCCTCGGAGGAGGTAACCTACTGTTACTAACGAGATTTCCCACGGTCTAAATGAAAGTATGGAACTCATTGAGTTGAGTTTAGTAAATTCATTTGGACTAGGTGAATTTGAAGAAAATAGTGATACTGAAATAAGGGAACCGTGAGATTCTAACTGGTATCACTCTAATCAACTTTATCCCCCCATAATAATTGAATTTAACTTTATTTAAACCTTTAAAACTTAGACTTTAGGACAACTACTTCGCCGAGGAGCCTGGAGTTAACTTTATGGGCAGCCTTCTGCAACAGCATGAGGATCTACAACAACACATCTTTCCTTAGAACTAAACAATAAGCCATAGGATTTCGAGGTCGTTCGATTAGAGCAACATAAATCCTTAACTTCTTTTAGGCCTTTGTATGACTCTACTATACAATTTAAGCCTTAACACACCCTATGATTTCGAGGTTATCGTTCGTCACAACCTAAATCCTCACATCTTCTAGGCTATTTGTGCGACCATCTCACTTGAATGTAAGCCCTAATAAATAAAATTGGTAGGAAGACACCCATAATTTCTTTTTGAAGTTGAAGTTAAACCATAAGAAAGCTTGGGAAGTCACTGAGGTTCTCCTTAGGATCCATGACATCCCCTACTTCTTCTTCAATTGGATTCAAAAATAAATGTTCCAAATTTGAGCCATTCCCATTTCACACCTCTTTGTCCGATCTTTTAAAAATTCTCATCCCTTAAACTCCTTGAAGACAATATCCCCTGATTTTTATCGAGAGTTTTCTTAGGTGACTTCGGTTATCTAAAATGTAATTAACTATAAGGGTTGCCCTTATAGGAAACATTAAATAACCCAGCTTAATATAAATCCTATTTAATTCTTTGTATTAAATAGGGAAGCTTGTCGGTCAACATAATAAAAATGATTTTTTCGCAGACTTAAACAGATGTCATAAATTCTTTAGTTTATCTAATCGAGTCTTTCCAGTAAGTAGTGTGTCTACCCTTTGAGATAGATGCATTTCTTGCGGTATTAGACTCATTTTTTTAACTACTAAGGATATGAGATCCGTTCGGTCTCGTATTTTCAAAATTTAAAATACTACTTTTCCCAAATTATACATATAAAAATTAAATTAAACGGAAATCAGGATATCCATTCCGACAGCCGATAATTTCCAATTTGACGACCGACAATGTGCTAACTCTGTCTTATAGGGTTGTTGTAGTTAATTAAAACTAGGCTGTCATAATATTGTATGTTTTCATTCTTGAGTCCTCTTTTCATTTTAGAATTAAGGTGTGTTTTGTTCAGTGTCCTATTAATATCTGAACTATTCAAAAGAGGATGAACTCGAAGCGAAAGGATAAATCTTAACTAAAAAATAATGAAATTTTAGATGATGTTGACTAACGAGTAACATAAGTCTAGCGTTGGCATCCTTTTATCATATCTATTATTTGATTTGTACTCGATAGATTTGACCAATTTTTTTGTCGGTATTTTATTTGCATCTTTTATCGAAATTACTGATAGGCTCATTTTAGGACTATATTTTCTATCCAAACTAAATAACTTTAACCTATTTTTTTTTAAATTAGATGAAACTCATAACCAAAGGAAAGTTGCATAAGATATTATATTTACATCTTTAGAAATATTATAGGTAAATACAACTAAATTGATATTAAATAAAATATAGTAGAAATATTTTTGCGATTCAAGAATAGTCTTAAAAAGATCACCATATATTTATGCATACTATATAGTTCATATTTCTTTCTTTCAGACCATCACTCATTGCACAAAAAGTGGTTTATCGTTTAAGGACCACCACCTTATAGAATGAGTCTACTTTTACATACCATTTAGCCTTATAAATGAATCTTCTAAACATTCATTGTTAAGGATTTGCATAACCTATTGCAAAGCTTGCTCTGTTCACTCGACAATAAGAGTTAACCAAAAAAGTAATAAATATTTTAGTGTGGTGAACTATAACAAGTGGTAAGTTTTAAATGAAAAAATAATATTCACATCGGTAGTAGGATATTATGTATATCATTCATACTTAGGCAGCTTGATTTATAATCAAGTTGTAAGACATACCACTCTTAAAAAATAATAAAATATCATGTTTTACATTCTTTGAGACCGATCATGTATGGCTTTTTTTTTTAAATAGATGGTTTAGATGACAACTCTTTCCAAAGGTGATAAGTTCATTACATTTTTATCTATTGTATTTTCCTTCATTTAAACTAGGTTTATGAGATTTCACTTCTTTTAGTGAACCTCACTTCAGTCTTAGGATTCTAATGTTATTCATCTAGTTACAACATAAATCCTTATCTCCTAGGCTTTCTCACGACGGTATATCGTGTGATAAAAGCCCTAAATTCTAATAAGATGTTAAGATGCGAATAATCCTCTTTCCAGATCTCTAAAGCCAAACAATATGATAGTTGGGATGACACTGAGTATTCTTAGTTACTTCGATATGTCCTACTTTTCTTCCTTTGGGTTTTGTTAATAATTATTCCACTTTTGAACTTTTCTCATTTGAAATTCCAATGATCAATCACGAAAACCTAAACTTAGAAATTTTTTGAAGATAAAACCACAACCTTAATCGAAAGTTTTCTTAAGTAGCTTCAGTTGCTTAAGATATAATTAAGTATTAGGGGGTTGCTAATATAGGAAGCATGTAACCCATATTTAATTTAAACTCTATCTAATCTTTGGATTAGATAAGAGAAAGATTTATCAATTTTAATCGTAAACCATTGCAAATATTTAAAATTTTGTAATTTAAGTTATCAAACTATCATAAAGTGATATTTCTATCTCCCAAAATAGTATATTACTTTTGATGCTATATTTGATCATTTAAATAAGTAAATCTTTGAATTTCTAGGGTTTTATAAAAGCATATTGTCTGTCGAAGACTAAAAACAATAACTATTTTTGAACCGTGAAAACTTGTGCGAACCATTTTTGTACTATATTTGAAAATCTTAATAAAGTTAAAATGTGGTTCGAAAAATAATTCTAAGATAATTTGATGATAATTAGAAAATGGTTTGATTGTGGTTTAAGGATAGATCGATCTTGATACAATTATGATTTGATCATATTTAAGGATACTTATATTATAATTTATTCATGTTTTGAAGTTGATTAGAAAATAATTCTATCAAAGTTAGAATAAGTTTTGAAGTGTTTCATAGATGATTCTAACAACTTTGTAACATGTATTATGATGTCATATATGTTCTAGGTATAAGGTTTTTTGTGCAAATAACATATTCAGAACTAAATAATCAGACACATAATAACATTGATCTTGACTAGATATAAATGAAAAGATTGTCACCATGAAATTTTGGCGCAACCCAAATACTCATGCTCTATGATTGATTGAAGTCACAAAAACTGTTGGGAAGACGAATGATTAATGATCTCTTAATGTAAAATACTATCACAATGGTTCATCACGTGCTTCAACTTATATTTATAAAATATGAGTATTTTGGTTAATGAAATTTAAGCATATTTTTCAAAAGAAATAAACAATGAGGTTACTTTTTAATTACTACAACTATGATGCATGTAAAGTCAATTTTCTTGATACTTATGCATATAATTAATCAAAGAAAAGTTCAATTTTATTCAAAATCAAAATATTTTTCAATTTTATTCAAAAAAAAAAAAAAAAAAGAATCAGAAATACCATAAACAATTTGAAAGTTTTCATTTAGAATATAGTCCAAACTAGGGCTTCAAATGAACTAATATGCTAGATAAGCTATTAGTGAATAAATGAGGAAAGCATGAACAACTTGATGCTTGATTACTTTATGATCAAGAATAATTATTATTTATATTTAGTGAATAAGTTAATTATGAGTCTCAATTAAGATATGATGATATACTTGTTTAAGAATTGGTTATCAAAATTTTTTAATATAACTATATAAAAGTTTTTGCTTTATTCTATATTAGATTATTATTTTTTACACAAGATAGAACTACATGAGATGGATGTATAAAAAATGAAAAATATATACATGAAGTATGTGATATTTTTATGTATTTACATATCTTACACATGTATTTTCATTTTTACATACATAATATTTTGATATTTTAAATTTAAACATGAAAGTATGAACTTTATTTGGTTTTAATATTATAATAATATTTAAAAGAAAAAAAGACCATTACTCTTGATTTCATATTGAAGTTTTGAGTATTATATGTCTAAATATGAAAGTTCAAAGACTCTGTGCAATGTATTTAAAAAGAAATGCTTTGATTCAAAGGGCCCAGGCTTGGAGGAAAAGGGTGAAGTCAAGAACTTTTCAGGCGTTTGATGGGCGACGACAGGTCGCTAGTGGTAATGGGGAACAGGGATAGAGATCGTGAGCTGTTGATTCCTGTTAGCGGAGATCCCGCCGATGGCACGGATTCTAGGGCTACAGCGTCAGGCTCCGGTGCCAGCCACCACCACTCCGGCCGAGAGGTAAAGGGATATTTCACTTCTACCTTTTTTTTTTTTTTTCTGGTTCTATCGATTGATCTTGGTTGTACTATTTTCTATGTTTAGAATCCAGTTTGCTAGTTATTGTATGCGTCCGTGTGAGTTCCGGCAGTTTCAATTTTATCACGCGAATTCTGGATCATACATTATTTCTTCTTGTGTGATATTTTCTATGATGCTCTATTTTGCGGTGGCTTTTTATCTTAACCTGGCCACATAGTGTATGTTTGATCTAGTTTTAAGTTCCAGGGTACACAATTGGCTTACTGAAGATAATGTTGTCACGTGGAGCTGGTTGTTGATTTCTAAATCAGCGCATCTTCTGAATTTTAGTCACGCCGGAAATGTTAAATTAATAGAAGACTTACTAAGCACTCCTTAATTATTTCGTGTTTTTGTTAAAAGAAAACTCGACTATTATTCTGCATTTATGCTCTACTTCTTGCATCTATTTTCAGGAATTAGAATTTTTAAGAATGAGTTCTCAAAATATGTTATATCATATGATTTGCAAATAACTCAGAAGAAGTGCTCTCCTATAAATTTTCTTAGAATCAAATATGCTAGGGAGTAGTCAGTTCCATTTGGTTGTTTAATTCCTTTCTACGACAACAACAACAACAATAACAACAAACTTTTATTCCACTAAGTGGGGTCGGCTACATGAATCCTTTTTCTCCATTGTGTCCTATTGAGTGTCATATTTTTATTTAATTTTAATATATTAAGTTCATTTTTTATACAATATGCCCAAATCTTATTAGGTTTAACTTTGCCTTTCTTAACATCCACTGAAGGATTCTCATCTCAAAAACACTTAACTTTGTTTTATGCTTCTCTTTTAAAGACCCAAATTCTATGCTATAGAGCATTGCGGGTCTCACCACCATCTTATAAAGTTTTTCTTTTAGTTGAAGCGGTACTTTTCTATCACACATTAGGCTCGAAGCATTCCTCCAGCTCAACCAACCAACTTGAACTCTACTAATGACATCTCCATCTTTATGACAGTCACTTTGAACAATAGATCCGAGATATCTACAAAGTTCACACTTTTTAATCATTTGATCACCCATAGATACAAGTTTTCCACTAGAGCTTCTACCACTAAAATTACATTCCATGTATTCAGTTTTAATTCTACTCAAACAAAGGCCATTAGACTCCAATGGAGACCTCCATATTTCAAGTTTTTCTTTAACTCTTTCTATAGTCTTATCCACAAGAAGGATATTATCAACAAAAAATATACAACAAGGTACATCCTTCTATAAATGTCCAGTGAGAGCATCCATAACTAAAGAAAAAGATGTAATCCAACTGAAATAGGAAACTACTTGGTCAATCCTCCTTTTGTTCGAACACAAGTAATAACTCTAGTATACATATGACTTGAATATGAATGTCCATTCATACCATGACCTTTTTTCTTAGAACTCTCCAAAGGAGTTCTCTTGGAATCTTATCATAAACTTTTTCTAAATCAATAAAAATCATATGCAAATCCTCCTTATTCTCTCTGTTCTTCTTCATTGTTTGATTAACAACAGACAAGAGAGATCAATAAATGTATAGCTTCCATAGTAGACTTGCTTGACATAAATTCAAACTAATTATGAGAAATCTTTGTATCATGTCTTAACCTATGTTCAATATGTTCAATTACCCTCTGTTCAATTACCCTCTCCCATAATTTTAAAGCATAACACATCAACTTAATTTCTCTATAATTTGAACACATTTGTGCATCTCTTTTATTCTTAAAAATGGGGACCAAAATACATTTCCCACTCCTCAGGCATTTTTTTAGTTTTAAAAATAATAATAAAGAGTTTATTAATCTAAGAAGCTCCTAAATCTCCTAAATATTATGCACTTCAATTGGGATATCATTAAGTCCTACTAATTTTTCACCCTTAGTTTTCTTTAAAATATCATAACTTCTTTTTTACAAATGCGAAGATAAAAATAAAATATTTCATTATTTATAACGATATTAAGATCACTAAGGTGAATCGTATTTTCAGAAACATAATTGAATAGTTTATCAAAATAGCTCACCCACCTATGTTGAACATCTTATTCTAAGAAAAACACTTTTTGATTTTTCAGAAACATAATTGAATCGCATTTTCAATCTTCACTTTTCTTTTCTCTCTGTCTAACTAGTTTATACATATATTTTTCATATTCTTTAGTATCTAATATATTATAAAGATCACTAAAACCAGAATATTTAGCATGACAAATTGTTCTTATAGACTCCCTACGATCACCTTATATTTTTCTTAATTCTCTAAGTTCTTACATTTAAACTAATTTTTATAACACCACTTTTTATATTTTATCTTTTCTTGCACTTTATTATTCCATAACCAACTATTTTTTTATTGAAATTTTTTTTGACACTTCAAGTACATCTTTTTCCAATTGTTTAATAGTATTTGTTACTTTATCACACATAAAATTTGCTTCTTCATGAACATCACCAATCTTGAAATTTTGAATTTTATTCATAAAAGTAATTTTATTTGTGAGTACCTCAATCTAATTATATGACAATTATTCATAGTATTTTTTCTCTTACAACTCTGCATCTTACAATTAAAAAAAAAAATAATCAATGTTGAGTACTTAAATTTTCACTTGGAATGACCTTACAATCTTTACATTTTCGACAATTTCTAGCTACCATGAATATTTCTAAAACTTTCTACCACTCTATCAACATGTCCATTTAAATCTCCTCAAATAAAAATTTTTTCTTTAAGAGATATCATTTGTATTAATTCTTCTAGGTCATTCCAGAGTATTTCTTTAGAACTTATATCTAAACCTACTTGAGGAGCATAAGCGCTTATAACATTAAAAATCTTAGTATCAACAACAACTTAAAAACTATAATTCTATCTACAATTCTATTAATTTTTACAACATTATCTTTTAAACTCTTATCTGCAATTACACCCATATCCTTTCTAGTGCGACTCCTGCATGAATAGCAAAGTTTAAAACCTAAGCTATCATTCTCCTTAATCTTTTCTCCAACCAATTTAATTTTTTCTCCAACCACTCCAACCAATTTAATTTCTTGAATACATAAAATATTTATCTTTCTATGAACCATAATATCAACTAGTTTCATTAATTTACTGTGAGAGTATCTATATCCCAATATCCTATTTTAATATTAGTTTTACGGACTAACTTCTTTACCCACATCCGCGCATAATGTGGAAATACTTACTTATTTCACACTACACCTCGACACCGTTGTAGTGACTTTGCACACTTTTCACTGTAGTCAAACCACAACATGTCGCTTCCAGGGGACGCCCTCGCATTTACATAATATGACCAAACCATCTAAGATGACTCTCTCTAGTTTGTCTGTCACTGAAGCTACACCAATCCTATCACAGATATATTCATTTCCCATTTTGTCTCTAAGTGTAACGCCACTCATCCACTTAATCATTGTCATCTCAACAACACTTAACTTAGTTTTTATGCTTCTCTTTTAAAGGCCAACATTCAGCTCCCATAGAGCATTGCAGGTCTCACCTCCATCTTAACATCTTATAAAATCTTCCTTTCAATTTAAGCGATACTTTTCTATCACACAATTGGCCTGAAGCATTAATTCACTTCAACCAATCAACTTGAATTCTACTAATAACATCCCCATCAATATCACCATCACTCCATCACTTTGAACAATAACTTTGAACAATAGACCCGAGATATATAAAACGTTCACATCTTTTAATAATTTGATCACCCATAGTTATATTTCTATCACTAAAACTACTACTACTAAAATTACATTCCATGTATTTAGTTTAAGTTCTACTCAAACGAAGACCTTTAGACTCACAAGGTAGACCTCCATAATTCAAGTTTTTCCCGAGCCTTTTTTCTCGTCTTATCCACGAGTAAGATATCATCAGCAAAATGAATACACCAAGGTACATCCTCTTGTGAGTGTCCAGTTAGACCATCCATAACTAAAGCAAAAATATATGGGTTTAAAGCCGATCCCTGATGCAAACTAACAGACATAGGACAATATTTGGTCAATCTCCCTTCTGTTCGAACACAAGTGACACCTCGTGTATACATATCTTTAATGACTTGAATAACTTGAATATAAGTCATATGGAATATAAGTCATATGAACACATTTCTTCTCAAGAACTCTCCAAAGGATATCTCTTGGAACCTTATCGTAAGCTTTTTCTAAATCAATAAAAATCATATGTAAATACTCCTTATTATCTCTGAACATCTCCATCAAACCTTTCAATAAATGTATAATTTCCGTAATATACCTTCCCGACATAAATCCAAATTGATTATCAGAAATCTTTGCAATACGTCTTAACCTATGTTCAATTATCCTCTCCCATAATTTTAAAGTATGACACATCAACTTAATTCCTCTATAATTTGCACACTCTTGTGCATCCCCCTTTTTCTTAAAAATTGGGACCAAAATACTCTTCAGCCACTCCTCAGGTTTCTTTTTAGTCTTTAAAGTAATATTAAAGAGGTTAGTAAGCCAAGAAACTCCCAAATCTCCTAAATATTTCCACACTTTAATTGGTATATCACCAGATCCTACAGAATTTCCACCTTTGGTTTTCTTTAAACCATCATCAACTTCTTTTTTATTAATGCGATGGTAAAAATGAAACATTTAATTATTATTAACGATATTAAGATCAGTAAGGTCGATCATATTTTCCAAAACATCATTAAAATGTTTATCAAAATAACTCACCCAACTGTTTTGAATATCTTTTTTTAAAAACAACACTTTTTTATTTTTATTTTTAATACATTTTACTTGAGTTAAATTTTTTCTTTTATTTTCTCTTTGTTTACTAGTTTATACATATATTTTCACCCTCCTTATTATCTAATACATTATAAAGATCATTAAAAGCAGAATTTTTTGCTTCACGGAATGTTCTCTTAGA